CCCAGCCAGCATGCTGGCTGGGGAATTCTGGGAGTTGGAGTCCACCCATCTTAAAGTTGCTAAGGTTGAAAAACACTGTGCTAAAGCATTAGCACTAAATTGCAACTATAGGAAAAATGTGTAGAGGATTCTGCTTGGTGTTCAATTTAAACTGGACATCCTTCAAGAAATTATAGCTTCTAAGAAAAGATACCAGAACAGAAATCAGTGTGAAATTTGTTCACACTGAGATGCGCTTGATTAAAATATTTCAGCCCAATCTGTATTTCTACATCCCGTGAAAATTTGTTTTCAACGCTGGGAGTATGATGGAAGGAGTCTTTACTGCCAATACTGGTGTTATAAAATTGATACAAATAATTACCTCATTTCTTAAGGCCCAGGTCCTCTGTAACATGCTTCTTCGAGCAACATCAATCTCCTGAAACAAAATATAGAAGACATTAGATTTCAGACATTTTTGGCTTCTTTCTGAGGTGAAAGGACTCTTCAGTTGTCTCAAAGAATTAAGACAATTTGAAGAGTTGACATCTGTAGATCCTATGTATTAGCCTTTTTATTTTCCAAATGAAGAGTCTGGAAGAAATAATAAAGAGGCGTCTTGTCTTGTCTGGACTGTTCTTTCAGGACTAGCAGCTTGACATCTTGACTTTCTGCCAACATCCCTAACAAGTGAGACAACAGTCTACAATTACTGTCTATTTGGGATTCTATTCACTCCATTATCTACCTGATATCACGAATTCTACACAATTTGTATGGTGGCATGTGAAAGAAAGTCATACAAGAAATTGGCATCCACTGTAACAACCAAGAGTGAGGCAAAGAACGTAGGACATCTCTCCTAGCTTGCACGGGTGTATGAATTTCAGTTGTGTAGTTAGGCTGCTGCCTGAGGATAATGGTCTTATATTGTGGCTTGCGCTACTGAATGATACAGCCATGCAAAACTTCATTCGTGGAAGGCATCTCTTTAGTATGATTAATTCTCTTCTTTTACTAAAATATAACCTACAGGAAATACCAATGAAGGCAAAACTTCATTTACTGGCTTATGATTTAAATCTCAAATAGTTTTCAATCAAGATAAAAATTAGTAGTTTGAATAAGTCGAATTACAAATGGCAGAAAGAACGTCTAATCTGCATCTGGATAAAGAACTGGCTAATCTGGGCCATAAATTGATATTTATGGAATTACTTCAAAGGCAGTTCCTACAGTGATGCTGCAAACTATTACATTTATAATCCAAATGGCAAATCCAGGTTGACATTGGAGTACACCTATATGGAACACTCCAGCTGAAAGTGCAAGTGTTTCCCACGCTGCTGCTAAGAAGAAGCCATCACAGGAAGAGTTTATGTGCATTATACAGTTGGCAGAACAGGATGGCTCCTAGCCAGCCTGTGAAAAGTTACCACGTACCTGTGGGACATTTTCCTGGGAGAAAATGAAGGTGTTGACATGGGCCACTGCAACCACATAAAGTATAGGACACCAGTGATGCTGCAAGGTTCCTGTGACCAGGGCATGGAAGTACTGACTTAAGAGGTTGAGATTGTCTTCAGGAGGAGAAAGATATCGCTCAAGAGGCAAAGGAAACTGCAACAAAGCAAAGAAAGCAAAATGTCTTTTTGACTACCAACTTTATCTGCAAACAAACAAACAAAAATTCTTAACTTAGTCCATAGTAATTAGAGGAGCAGGAAAGAATAGCCCAGAATGGTAGCATCCAGTGGTTCTTGACAGATGGAAGTGTCAATTCTGCCTTACTTTAAAAATTAAGAATTGATCTCATCACTTTGGCTACAGTGATTCAAATCCTTACATGTCCCATGCTACAATATGGCACAAGAAACAAGCTGCATCATTTTTGTTACTATTCTGCCCGTTCTTCCCTTTGCTAGGCTATTCTCTCCATTAACATAAACAGCTCCCTGTCTCAGAACTGCTACAGGTTTATGAGAGATTTCTTTCTAAATGACTTTTTTTGGGGTCCACAAATATTCCTCCTTGTGTCTCCAAGTTCTCCAGCTCCCTGATATCCAGGCTATGCCTTACGGTAACCACAAATGATTTCACTCAAAATGGTAAGGCTGCAGGAATAATTAAATTGAACACAAAGTGATCAGTCTAAATTAAATTAAGGCCCTAGGTCATATTTAGCAAATACATCAAGTTAAGAGCCTGTGCATATGGAAATCAATCATACTAGGGCATACCGTGAAACAAACAGCTGCTCCATTCAGGATTTTTCTTTCATATTCACTACTGAGGCTGATGACATTCTATTTGCTTGTGACTTGGACCAGACCAAGCAGCCCTCACTATAGTCATTGCAAGAGTATTAAGCTCTTCCCAATTTGGAAGCTGCTTCCATTTCATTGCACTTTCCATTTCTCTCCACCAAACCCTAAGATCCTTATTCTGGGGAAGTGAATGCTCTAGGTGCCCCTGGAACATTATTTACTTTAAAGTCTATTAGTTGCAAGATTATACTTGCTATGCCAGTTCTTGGAGCATATACCTTCATTTGCATTTTCTCCCCGCTCTAAAATAAATCTCCGTGAGGTCATCAATGGCTTTGGCATTCTGCACTCAAATGGAATTGCCACAAAGACCTTAAATCTTTGCTTAGAATGTCCCAAGAAAATTCTTAATTTCCTTTAAGAAGCTCAAGCATCCATTTAATTCTAAGCAGCTGACTCAACTACAGCGGCTGAGTGATCTGCTCTCAAGCAGCAACCATGAGACATACCTGTTGGAGTGGAACTCCCAAAGCTCTTAAGGTGTTCACATGCTCTCCAAAGACAGCCATCTTTAGCTGAACACTGAAATGCCTCTGCAGAGGAAGAAGCACAAAGACTCCAAAGAGAGGATCTCCAAAAGAGACACTTTCAAACTGTTCTAGGAAGCTTATATAAAGGTCATGGAAAGAAGCTAAGCCAGGGAGAGGAACATCCAAATTCAAGGACTCAAAGACTTTGGACTGGCAGTAAAGTGAGAGCAGAGCTGCTGTATAGCAATGTACAGGGCCTTCCAGAAATAAGTCACTGCCCGTGAGGAAGACACACATAAGCCTTGCAAGTTTGGCTGCAATTGGGATACCCTGAAGGACTTTGGCCCTCCAAGTCTCCAATAGGAGGATCCACTGTAGATTCCGAGTCATAATATTCACAAGGTCCAGAGGAAGACGGCTTTCTGTGGCCCACTGTGTTTCTGCCCCAGTTGCTTTGTTATAGAGACCGATAAGAGGAAGGAATAGCCAGTCAGAAGGCAAAATAGGCCCTCTGACCTCAGGAAGCAGCATGGATTGGACACGATGAGTTCGACCTTGATAAACATCTCTAGAATGAATAAGAGCTGGCTTCAAGTAGGTAAAATGAAAGAGAAAACAAGACTGTATCAGTGGAAGTTGTCGGTAAGCTTCTTCCAGTAAAGCACCATAACTAGGGAGTGGAGAAATGGGGGCTGTTAAGCTTAGCGGTGATGGCTTTGCTTTTGAATTCAAGCGCAGAAGGTCTGAGAAGTCAGCAGCTTCTGGTCCTCCCACTTTGCCTTCACTGAAAAAAGGGTGAAAACATGATAAATACAGAGGGTTTTTACAACATTCAAATATGTCCTATTTTAATCTCTAATAAAGCACACTATTACTGTATTTACAAATAAATTCAAAGGCATTGCCTGAGGAAATAAATTCCACTATTTAGATAATACTACTAATAAAACAAGAACTGCCTCATTCCAGCAGTGGCTTGACAGATACTGCTGGGGAAGTTCATGAATAGGGAATATGCTATAAATAGGAAGAGGAGTGTTCTTCCTTAAGTAAATACGGAGTGTTGTCTTTATTTAGTTAAAAACACAAAAATGAAAGTTGCAGTGAAAATGGATGGCTATAAATGCACATTCTGTTCACCAAGAGCAATGAAACCCAGGCAAGCATCACTACACACACCTCTGAGAATACAGGAATGAAAACAGTAAGATGAAAGGGAGGGGAAGAAATATCAAGGAGCAATATACTATCATATATATAAAGGGAGGAAGCAGCTGAGTTGGAGAAGCTAGCTGTGTTATTTGCTTATCTGATAAGATGGTAAAAAAAGGCAGGAGGACTGAGGGAGGAGAGATAGTCAATAAAGCAAAGGAATGGGAGGAGGCAGTCAGGTTAGATAAGTACCAGGAACCATAAAAGCAGGGTTAGGGTTAGGAGGAAAAAAGGAAGCAGCAGCAGAAGTTGGATCCTGTTGCATATAGAGGTAGACCTTGTTTTCCAGAGTTCTGTTATTTGTGGATTCATGTATCCCACAGCTAATAAAAAGCTGAACAGGATGCCTGTGGAAAGTAGTTCTGAGTATTGGTGGGTTTTGCTGACGTCCACCATTTTACACATGCACAAACACAGTGAAATTGGCATTATATACCCCACCAATCTGTATTACCTTATACAGTCATACTTTGAGTAAGCCCATAGAAGGGAATTCTGCCCTCACCTTGACAATTACCCAATGATCTTAATGGTCTGCAGGCTTCTTACCTTCTATGGACCTCTCCTTCCTGCATGTTATAGTATGCTATCTACAGGAAAAGAATGATAAATGCTTATTGGGGAGTTCTGCTGAGAGGGGTGGCAAATGTACCAAAAAAGTGCTGACCTTGAGCAAGAAGGTGAAATTGCTGAACTTGTTGGCTTGCTGCGTCAACACCATATCTCTTTCATGGTGTTATGACATCAATGAGTCACTGTCCATTGTCCACTCCATAAAGAAAAGGTGAAGTCAGTATTTGCTCAGTGTGGTCTCTGGCACATCTTAGAAACTCAAGGTTGCATTCCATCCATGCAATCCCCACTTGGAATGGATGGAAAAGACCCTCACTCTATGAACAGAGGACCAAGCCCAGAATAACATGCCACTAAACAGACCAGTAATCCATGAAGAAGCATTGTGACCGTACACAGAGTTTATAATAGAAATGCTGACTGAGGTTTCCAGGCAAGGAGAGGATGGTTTCAAAGATTCAAGCACCATTACAGCCTCCATAATGCCAAACTGGCATGGAAAACTGCATAAGTGGATTACAAGGTTACACAAAGATATCCAGTCCAGCAGAGTTCTACTGGCTAATTAATTATGTAAGGTACAGGCCAGAGCAAATCTTCAATGCAATGAGACCAGCCTATTCTGGAAATGGATGTCCTCTTACTCTTTCATTAGCAAATCAAAAAGCACTACTCCAGGTTTCAAGAACTATATAATAATGCCCAGACTGATAAAGGTTCAGGAGACTATTATAGAAACAGCTGGCTGCAAGTTTCTCTGTTACCAATGAAAAGGCTCATTTTCAATATCACAGAACGGCTATTAGAACAAAAATAAAAAAGTCTTCATCCTAATGTGTATGGGGATATAATATACCTGTAAAGGAACAACAGTTCAATTGCTGGAATTCTTGGAAACCCATCCCACCCATTTCAATAAATCTTGCTAAGGTGAATTTTGTAAGAATGACATTTGGAAAGAATCACTTTCAGTTTAGGTAGCTGCAAAAGTGCCTGATAGACTGCCTTACTCTTCTAGCATGTAGCATTGCTGCTGGGGACTGTGTGGTCAAGCATAAGCTTCTGTACCAAGCACAGAACTCATGTGTCTTGAAAAGAATAAAACCAAGTTTGTATATTCTAAAGTATCAGCTGGCAAGTGTGGGTACAACACTTTCTCTGACTGTTATCAGCCACTGCTTTCTGGATGAGGTGCAGAAACATAAAGCCTTCAAACCTTCAAGATCCCTGGTCTTTACAGTTCTCTGCTGCTTGTCAATACCCCTGGCCATCCTGGAGATCACTTTGTTGACACCCAATGCCCCCTTCATGATTTAACTAATGGACCAAGGTCTGGTAGTGTCTTTCAAGCCCTACTACATGTACCATGCCTACCAGGATGCTGGTTCTCATGGAAAACAATTCCTCTTTATCAGTGAGCAATTGCTGGAGAAGCTACAGCATTGAAAACTGAATTGAAAACATTGACATCCCTTGCAGGGATGGACAGACACCACAGGAAATGAGCCAAGGCAGTCAGCTCTTCATTTGCTGCAGCCATTCCATTACGCTGATGATTATGGTGTATTGTCAACTTTGTACATATGTTGATAAAGGCCTTGAAAATAGTTACCTAACGTGCTGGATTTTCTCCAATTCTATCAGGAGGAGCTCACAGATCTCCTCATCTAGAAGCTTCTGATAGCAAAGAATCAGAGAAAAATATATGCTTTCCGAGTTCTTTATCCCAAAAATCTTCTCTTAGACCTTGTGGGTGGAGAATGGTTTGGGGGTCAAGTGTTGGAACTTGATCCCGTAATGCAGTGTGGCATTGTTCAAAAGGCAGCTGGGAGCTGCTCTGCAACTCAAGAATACCTTCTGGGCTCTGCAAAGCATGGCAAGGCAAAGCAAAGCAACACAGCCAGCTACTTTGGAAATGTAGCTACACCCACCACAGCTGAGTCACCGTCAGAAAGTGACATGGATACTTTATATGGCTTTGAGGAGGAGGAGTGCTCCACTGCTTCCCTATTTTGATTTTGTTGCAGGCCAAAGACTCAAAAGAAACGAAATAAAGGAACTTCACTTTTTTCTTGTTTGCTTGCTTTTGATTTTAATTTTGCTATAGGCTAGAGACTGTGGAAAATTATTCTGGTTTTTCCCCCCTACTTTGAACAAAAGGCTTTTTTTTTTTTAATGAAAGAGTAGGAGACACAGTGGGAGGCCAAGATACAGTACAGTATGCATTACTCATTTTTTATTTTTCTTTATAGTTAAGGTGATTTTTTCTTATTTTTGCCATTTTCTGGTGCTCCAAAACCTCTCCCCGCTCCCATTCCCAAAGGCTCTATATCTTATCTTTATTTAAACTCAGGAATGTAGCCTCTGTGAGTAACAAGGTCCATCTGTGCACACAAGCTTCACTGTCAATAAGGTAAGAAAGGCAGGAATGGAGAAGAGCAGGAAGATCTTAAATGTGTGAGATGTGCTGCTTATGCAGGCACTCCATTGTTTATGTCAGAGCATCTTAAAAGAATGCAAAAATGGCAGACTGTGTGAAAGAGAGGTGGAAGAACTAAAGGGAATGTAAGCAAAATTATAAAGAACACCATATAATTTGATGGCATGCCCCATTTATTTTCAGCACCTTGCATACACACCCACTTCCCCTAAACATGCATGTCCCATTTAAAGTATCATAGTCTATAGCCACTGCAAAATCAATGCAAATTATAAGCTCAGTATATATTAACACTTGTAAGACTGGAAAGAAATTTAATGCAACAGAGACAAATAAGAGAAGATGGAAGCAATCAGACCAGTAGCTTCTCTGGGCTAAATCAATTCAGAAATCAGTGGTTCCTCAGAAGAGTTTTGCCATCAAAACAAAGGATGGATATATACAAATTTAATGAATAGATTTAATGTTGACTGAAAGAGATGACCAAATTATAATATCAACTATACCAGGAATATAGAAAATTATCAGAGACAGGGAATAACATCACAACTGCAGATACCAGATGTAGTAGTGATAGACAGACAATCAGACAGGCAGACAGACATACCAGCACATAGATACAGTGCTTGATACCAGCACACAGATACAGTAATGGGCAAGTCCTTTAAAGACTATTTGAAGTTTCAATATTCAGAAAAAAAATGCTGCATTTCAAATCCATAGATTGAGCTGAAGATAATTTGTTGGAGTCTGAAAGGGTTAGAAAAGTAAAGATAATAGAAACGAAAAACATGGCAGTGAGAATGAAGTGAAAAGGTGCATAACCTTTTCTTCTGAATACCTTTTTGTGAACGTTAATCTTACATTCAGGGCTGTCTTCCTTTGGGGTAAACCTGATATTACTTGGCAGGCCCCATTTATTCGCAGGAGCTTGCATACACACCCACTTTCCCTGAACATGGACATCCCATTTGAAGTATCACAGCCTAAGCCACTGAGTAATCAACCTTCCATCAATTTGCCTAATCTTTTTAAAAATCCATCTCATTTTTAGCAAATGAATCATAAAGTTAGGATTTTTTAATATAGATTTGTGATGAGCAATTCCACCCTGCTTGATCCAGATATAGATCACCAGCGACAAGGACCATTGCAAAAAAAAGAAAAAGAAAAAATTGACAAAAATGTCTTCTAAAGAATGAAGTCTAAAGTGATGATTGTTTTGTGTTTATGATTAAAGTTTACTAGCCAACCCAGTTATCTTAGATTGCTATCCATTCCTAACAAGGGCAACACACCCCAAAAGGGAAATGTAAAGTTTCAGGTAATTACAAGAAAGCTCAGGAACCTCTTGGCTCAGCTTGTACAATTTTGCCAATTCATTTTTCAAATACTAAGACTTCAGAGAGAAAAGATATTTTTTACATGTATCACCATAACCTGTAAAAGTAAGTCCGGAGGTTGAGTCATGGCAACTGGACTTCTTTTCTTTGGGTTTGATATGTTTCGCTGCTTGTCAAAAGCTGCTTGGACAAGCAGCGAAACATATCAGACCAAAAGAAAAGAAGTCCAGTTGCCATGACTCAACCTCCGGACTTACTTTTACAGGTTATGGTGATACATGTAAAAAATATCTTTTCTCTCTGAAGTCTTAGTATTTGAAAAATGAATTGGCAAAATTG